GTTTTACTTTGGATTATGATTGGATCCTTCCCTTTGGCAGTGTGTACAAATACAATATGGAAGATGGTTGCTTTGGGAGCTTAAATGCTCTGTTTGGTTGGATTTTTGATCTATGAACTTGTGTATTTCAAGTCTATGCTGCAATCTAAAGAGGTAGTAAGCATTATCACAGTTCTTTTTATTTAATAGCCACACAAGGTTCACAGATATTTCACCCTCTGATATGTTGGAGAGTTGATTTAGGCGAGGTTTGATAGCGCCGTAAACTACCTTCGTATAGTCTAGATTTCTTCTTATAACGTTAAGCTTATTTATTTATGATGTTTTGAGAACAACATAGTTTCTGCTGACACAAAAAACTTTGAAAAAGATGACTGTTGACATTTTGTGATTAGTTGTCATCTTCCAATTATCAACTTTAGGAGAAATTCTCTTGGAGAGTTGATTGACAGGAGCAAGGTTAATGGCCAACCTGAGCTATTTATTGACCTTTGAATTAAGAAGGTTAAGGCTGGTGAGTAATCTTTTCTAAAGCCACTGTCAGTGGTATTCATCAGAGTGTCACAATACCTAAGTCTATTTCATTCAACTGCTTATTATGGTTCTCTCTCTAGATCAGGTGAATAACCTTAGTGTCATTGCGAGATTCGTCCCCATGGAAGCTCTAACTAATGTTGCTAATATAGGTTTCTACTATGTTGCCAACAAATTGATGGATATTATGCCTGGAATTCTAGGGCTAATGTACCTTCATCGTCACCAACAGATCTTACAAGACCCTTGACAGGGCTACTCATATCACTCTATGCCTTCAAAAAAAAAGAAGGTAAAAAGATCAAGTGAAGAAACTTAACGAGGGAAGTCTACAGGATCTTTTTAAAAAGCATTCTGGATTCATCCAATTTCTTTGTGCATTAAGAAGTCTATTGAGAAAGTTTTCAAATGATGAGGACGTAAAAGATAAGAAATACAAGGAAAAGTAGGGGAAAAGTGGCCACCCAGGAGTGTTCCTCAGGTGAACAACCAGAAACACATTAGGATGAAGAAGACATAGCAGATCACCAATGAAAAGCATGGTGCATAATTTAAGAGTCTCATCAATGACTAGGAGTTGCAGCAATTGGCTGTGAAGCAATTTCCAGTTTAGAGATAACTTGAATTCAATGCCTTCACAATGCTGCAATCCGGCCATATTCTAGATTAGAGGAGTCCAATGGAATCAATGATCCTCGCTTTTTTATGAAGATAGATTATGTGGAAAGAATTAAGAGGCTATGATTTATGCAGCAGGCCCCTTAGATTTTTGCCCAATTCAGTGCACTCCTAGCTCCCTACCATAACTTGACTATTACTTATCTTTGACTCCGGTATATTGTGATCTTGTTTTTCCTATTTTCTGGTCTTTTCTTTTTGATTCGGTGTTTAATTTGATGGTTTTAAAGTGTATACGTTGGATTTTGTTCTATTTCTTGAATAAATTATATTATCTGTGTACCCTTCAATTCAACATTATGTAGTTCACCTTCCACCATTTGTTGAGCTTCTTATTGTTTTCTATTTTTTATCCTACTTTTCTTTTGTAATGTTTTACTTTACACAATATTATAAAACTGACCAAATCAGTGATGTTTCATATGTAGTTGGATTGTCACAACAGTTTCACTGTCCAAATATGTAGGCCAGATCAATAGCAAAATCATCTGAAGACACTTACTATGTTGTCAAAAGTCTTATGGCATTCCAAACATCTTATTTATGTCATCTATAAGAATTTTCATTGTCTTGCATTTTCAATGTCGTTGTCTGTTAGTTTTTTTTAGTGAGACACCAACAAATGATCCAAAGAAGATAATGGAATTGACACAAAGAAAGTCACATTAACAAGCTGGAATCAAAACCATACCCCTCCCAACCTAAATGGCTTCCTTGCCAACAAACCAACTATGTGACTTGTCAAGCTAATCTCCACAAAGACATGCAATCCATCCTTCATCTCAACGACAAGGACAACCATGATGATCAAAGCAACCCTCGTTCGAAGCGGACAATGAAGATTATATTCGCTTCTACGCTAATCACCATTGTACTCACGACTACGTGGTATGACTTTTCTTATTCTCTATGTATGTTGTGTCATTAGATGAATGGGTATAACTATTGATTCAGGTACATGCTTTGATATAAGATTATCGCCTTTAGTTGTAGGAATCAAGTATCTATGCTACTTCATAGTTAGTTCTAAATCTTTGAACAATGCCATTAATTGTTCTTTTTAACTCTTTGAACCATGCTATTCTAAAATATGATGTTGCCATGCGATATTGAACTTTTAAACTGTTATTCTATCAGATGTTGGCTTACTATGCTTTTTTCTGTTTTTCATGATTCTCTTTACCTGCTTAATTTGTATATTTACGATCAGTATGGGTACTTATGGAAAAAATTTCTCTCATTAGACCAGGATTAAGAGCATATGCTTCTATTATATTCATTGTATTAATCTATTTATTTACATTATGTTACTTCTTGTAAATATATTTTTTTTATAAACTTATGAAAATTTTTGGACATCTGTAGAACCTGCCAATTTCTACAAGGTTAGATGTAAACTTTGGTAAAGATAATTCTGTCTGTGCCATCACTGGTTGGGCCAGTTCTGATGAATTAAAATTTAAAAACACTTGGAAAAATATAGATTTCTTAATACAATAGTTGAGATAGGCGACAAATTAAGCCTATAATTTTTAAACAATTGGGTAAATATTTACATATATTATAATCAAATCAAGCCATTGAGCACCTCGATATAATATGTCATAAATAAGTTACACAATTGAGGTGGTCTTTATGACAATCACAATTTTGCCAAATTCATCATGTGAAACAATCACTTGTCATTTCAATTACAAATTTATTCCTAAACTAATGAACTTACCATTACATATCATTGAACACAACAACAAACAAAAAAAACAAAATTATGGCTTAAAATGATCAACGTGCAATGCACGTATGCATCAACTAGTTATATTATACTTTACTTCTTAATTTATGCAATTACACCAACAAAAAATTTAACATATTGTCTGATTAAGCACCAAAATGATACGAATTGAATATTTTAGGAATCAAATTGACAAAATTGATACAATAAACACAAAATTGATAAAAAAATACATACTTTAAAGACCAAAAATATTGTTAATTCCTTTTTTAATGTATATAATGCTGGGTCACTAAAAGCACGATAAATTATTTTTGCAATGAAATCTTAAAGAATCACTAGCTGTACAGTAAATATACGACAGCAGAATATATTCTAAATATAAAAATATAAGGAATCAGTTCCTTGAAGTTAAAGGGTCACATTGTAATGCTTCTAATACATTGAAGGTACAATATAAAAAAAATTAATCTTTGAGAATATAAAATAAAATTTCTTAAATCTGTTAGGGCTGCAAATTCCAATTCGCCCCTAAAGAAAAATGATGTAAAATTGGAGTTCAAGAGAGGTAAATTGAAAACAGACATTACCTTCAACATTAAAATTAATGAGCCAAATTTTAATGAATGAAGCAATAGTCCTCTACAAACTATTCTAAATGTACTTGTCCCCATCCCTTGTTTATTGTCATAAACAATAGAAATGACAATATAATTTACCCAATAAAACTTTTAAGTAAATATGTGCAAAAAATATTACCTCAAATTCAAAGATTCTCAACATAATTGTGAATATAGAGAAATATATTTTCTATGACATTGATAACAAAGCTATTATTCAACAACTTTAACGTATGAAAGCTCATTGGGATTAATTGTAGATGACTACAATTAGTTTTCAAAGCAGCACGATTAGAAAGCTCAATGATGGGGGCATTAAATCTGAGGCTTCGAGTATTAAATGAGGTATAATACCAAAAGTTACAACTAAATATGATTATTTATAGTTTTTTTTTAGGTTTAGTTACAATTAATGGGGTTAAGTTACAGCAAAAGGAACTTACGATCAATCCTAACACTCAATTCCAATAATCCCATTTTATTATAAATCTCATTTTTATATGTATCGATGGATCATTACTAATACACTATATGATTACTGCAATGAAATATGAGTGATTTACGAGTCCGTAGAAAGAGCATAGTACAACCCTTAAAACGAAGGATAAAAAGAGTACAACAGAATCCCCAAAGAATCCCCAAAGAAAGTTGGTTGTAGTTGATCATATTGAGAGTATAAACACTGGTGATTATATCAGAAAATTTAACTTGGAAGTGTCATTGACCTAGTTATTTTGATGTTTGGACTACGGTTTTCACAGGCAATCAAGGCTCAAATCCCTAGCTTGGTTCATGCCTTCGATTCTTTTATGAAATTAGGATCTTCGATTTCAATATCCTCGTTGTCACTAAAAATTTTCTTTGTTTAGCTTTACAAGGACCTTAAGAAAGGATTGCACTAAAACCTCTTGCACTTGGAGTTTGAATAGTGAAGAAAATCAGTTTCAGAACCATGTGCTTGAATTCCTCTGTTTTGAGTAAAAAAATTCATGAAAAGTTTGCCAATCCAACTAATTCACTAGAGCAGCACCATCAACTACATAAATATTTTTAATTTTCCATCGAGTACAAACAACTTATGCTTAAAGTACTGCTCAAGAGGATCCAAGTAAAAAGCGAAAACAACAATTGCCACCTGGAGAATGGTGTCAATAACTGGAGTAAATGTAGAGTGAAATGCTAATGGTTGTTTAGTTTATCTTGGGATTATCTAATCTGTACTTTTCACTATTTTTCATCAATCGGAATACTTGATGGTGGTTGTGGACATAATCTGGGTTACACTCCAATTATAGTCCCCATAAGGAAAGCCTTGTTGCCATTATCCGTTTTATTTCTTTTCCAAAAATGGTGAAGGAATGTTTGGAACTAGTTCTATATTTGAATTAGATAAGCAAAAACAGAATAACATTTTGTAATTAAGTGGTGAATGAAACTATGCATATTTATATAGAACTTTGTCCATAATATGTTCGAAAGCACAAAAGGAAAGAAGCAACAATCAATCTGTCACCGGGGTGATAAATCTGAAAGTGTGACTTCATTAACAGAACATATTTGACCAGCTGTTGGAATTTGGTTGATGGCAATACAATTCGTCCAATGGAAAATGCTGGTCGTGTAGGTCGAGGGAGCGATATAGTGTCGCTTACCAATGTAGCAACTACAAATGACATGGTGGGTCTATTTGCTGGATCTTCCTGGACACATAATAATCCGATGTGGATGCATTTTAGCACTTCATCCAGCACACTAGACTCTACTAGTAATGGGTCCATCAACTCCAACCCTTGTCCTTCAGACCATAATTCCCATGCCTGTGATATTGTAAAAAATACAAAGTTGAATTAGTATTGTCACCACTGATTTCTGTTTTTTCTATATTTTTTTTTAAAAAAAAGTGTTGAGGAGATCAAAAAAGGAGACATACATAAGTAATGAGGCTTTGACCATTTTGGGAGAGAAAGCGATTATTCTTTTTCCCACTAACTATCTCAAGCAGTAGAACTCCAAAACTGAAAACGTCTGATTTAATAGAGAATAATCCTTCCATAGCATACTCCGGAGCCATATATCCACTGCTTTGAATCAAATATGGTGAAAGAAGAGAAGATTCACTGATGTCACTTCTACTTTGAAAACCACATTAATAGCACCTTTTTGCCTTTACAAGAAACTACAATAACTTGAACAAGAGCATTTGTAGACTACCATGCGCAACCCTATATTAGCTTAAAAAAGCGAGAAGGAGATTTCTAAGATAGAGATCTTGGCAAGAGGCCAATCAGGCAATCACATAAGTGCAAAAATAATAACCAAAGGAAGAGAGCTTACTATGTCCCAACAACTCTATTTGTGTTGTCTTCAATTTGATTTCCACCAAAAATCCTTGCCATTCCAAAGTCTGAGATCTTTGGATTCATCTCATGATCTAACAAAACATTGCTAGCTTTAAGGTCCCTGTGAATGATTCTTAGGCGAGAATCCTCGTGCAGATACAAAATGCCCCGAGCAATTCCTTTTATAATGTTAAGGCGTTTTTTCCAATCCAGTATGACACCTTTGGTTGAATCTGCAAGCAAAGAAACATTGTTCAAATCAAGTAGTATGCTTGCCATAATTAGCAAGCATATGAGGTTTAAGGGTCAAACCAAAGAGGAAGACATCTAAGCTTTTGTTGGGCATGAATTCGTAGATGAGAAGTGATTCATTTCCCTCTAAGCAGCAACCTAATAGCCTCACAAGGTTTCTATGTTGCAGTCTAGCAATTAAAGTAACTTCATTCTTCAACTCCCGTAGCCCTTGACCAGAAGTTCTTGAGAGTCTCTTAACCGCAATTTCTTTGCCATCTACTAGAGTACCCTGCAACGGTTTTCAAAGCAGCATAATTAGCAAGCTAAATGAAAAGGATATTAAATCATTAAGATCCACATTCAATCACTTAATCGCCTAATCGTAGTACATGTAATTGAGTAACTAGATAGCTGTTATGAATAGCTGCTTGAAAAATTTACTATCATCATCATGATTACCTTGTAAACAGGGCCAAAACCACCTTCTCCGAGCTTATTATCTTCAGAAAAATGTTGTGTAGCTGCCTTTATGAGATCTAATCCTATCAAAGGAAAGTCTTGGGATTTCGCTTGCTTTTCTCCATGCAAATAATCATTTGAGTAGTCATCGGCAAGTCTTTCTACAGGCAAGTGAATTAATTGACTCTCTTGGCTATGTTCTTTCTCCTCTGCAAGGCATATTGGATTCTATAGAAGTAGCATTTGGAAATAGAATTGTGTTAAACTCCAAGAAGATGATTCTATACCTTGCTCTCTTCTTTTACTTCTCATCCTACGGTACATATAGCATCCAAGTAGTGCAAACATTGACACTGTGGATACACTTGTGCTGATAGTTATAGCCATCCTTCTTTTACTTCCTACACAAAGTAGATAGTCATATTAACCTTTCACAATTCGTGATATGTAATTTTTACCAAATAAGTATAATTAGGTGTACCGACTTCCAAAAACCCCAATATAATACTTAAAATGTACATTCTTTAACAACTTAAAACTTTTGGAATAAGTAATTATTTGAATACTAATCCTATTAAAAATGAATATGCAAGTATTGGAACGCTCTGGAGCTAACCTTTACTGCTTGCATGGAGTCCGTAGAAGGGGTACAACTCGTACCTAATATTACAGCTTGGAAACAGAACTGTCCCCCCTTGTCTTCCATCGCAGCACCCTCTGAGCCTTGAGATTGCATCTCGAAGGCAGGTATCACAATCATAAATGGATAGATCCGGTGTGCACTGTCCAAGGCCATAGATATGTTGGTATGCCGTGAAATTTACTTCTTTAGTGGCAAACTTCTTGCCCGATTGATCATTTGCAGCCCGCGTGGCTATGTCATCCATCATCTCTCGATACACCTGCCTAAACCTGTCTACTTCTGTGATATTTGCAGTATTAGACATAATAAAAACAGGTGATTGATCCAGATTTGAGACGATAGATTGGTTTGAGTATCGTAAGAAGCAATTGTAATACCAAACTATGGCGTCTTTCTGGTTGTTGCACCGCCGTAGAATTTCCCTAGTAGCAGTCTCCACACATTCTTGACAATCGTTTGTGGTAACATCACCGCGACAGAGGAACAGGCCGTAGGCTATATCAGGAAGGTCAGTGCCCGCCGTGTCGTAAAAGAATCCGTTGTTGTGGGGAGCATTAACCGATGACATAGCCGAAAAGAGGGAATTCAGGCTGTCTTCATAGGTGCTGTAAGGGCTGTAAAAAAATGTATCTGAGCAGAAATATTGAAGAGGTTGGCAACTAACTTTTGGGCTGAGCCAAAAGCCAAGGAAACAAAGCAAGCACAGAAACAAAAGGAGTCGAGAGACTCTCAAGGAAGCCATTATTACGTATCGTGCTCAAACTCTTCCTCTGAGTGTGTTTAATTTATCTAAATCAGATGCAAAACCCTGTCATGGCTCCGTGGACTTGTTGACGCCAGAAAGCAAGTCAATATTGAAGCGCAGGACCGATATATTTTGCGGTCTAGAGTGAAAATAATAAATGGAATTTTTTAATTTTTAAGGTTAATAACAAATTTAATTTTTAATTTTTTAAATACAAAATATAATTAAAAATTTTAGGACCTTTTAATTTCATGGCTGAATTAATAGTTCTAATCTACATAAATTGAAATATTTTGTTTAAGAATGGATTTAAATTTTTTATTTGGGTTATTATTGCATACCTATAAATTATGTGATCTTTCTTGTAGTGAGGCGTTAAATTTTTGTTTGATTGAACTTGTGTTTTTATAAGATTTTTTTTGTAAGGCTTAAAGTATTTATGAATTTAATTTTTTTACATAGGCTATTTGTGATATCCAAAAATTGGAAACTTTCTTTAAAAAAAGGGGATAAAGACGAAGTTTGTTCAACAAGAGTGTTAAGCCGCCCCTTTGATTTTCAGCCGAGAAAGATGGAGTGAATGTTCTTTGTTTGTGGGACGAAATGAGTAAGTAATTACATGGATGGGGACAGGAGTGAGATACAGGAGGAAAACTTGCAACTTTGTCGATGCTGAAAAGTTCGACCCAACACATTGGTTATGTGAAAATTAAATGGTAAGTATTCTTTTTTTTATACTTTAACTGGACTAGTAATGCATGAAGTGCGTTACATGTAATAAATTTATAAATTATCTGTATAATTGAATTAAATAATAAATTAAGTGCTAAATAATTAATCAGTATTTTAATTATTACTAAATTTAATTATTAATTTATTTTATAATTGTTGAGGAACTAATCTATCTTTTATTTAAGTATTTCTTCAATCTCTTTAGACAATTACACATCTAATTATATTATAAAATTATTAATTTTTATTTTGTTAAATAGATTTATTAGATCACTTATAATATTATTATATTATTGCATACCAAAAAATAAAATATAACATATATTTGACCATAGAATTTAACCTGATAACTATACTTGTTTAATAATTTAACATATATATGACTTTACTTTTTCATATAAATATAGATAATTGTATGTAACTATACTACCGATAAATGTGTTCCAAAGAATTTAAAAATCCTTATAAAAGAGTTTAAATTAAGTTAAAAATCATATAGGTATAAAAATCAAAAATTTGATGAAAGTACATGATGATGCAGAGATCAGCTTTGCGCAAGATCAACAGTCAAGAATGTATAAGCGTGCAATTAATGGACAATAAATAGGTAATCAATGGCAAAACAGTAAATAAGAGTCAACACAAAGATTTATAGTGGTTCGGTCTGGATGACCTACTCCACTTTTGAGAATGTCAGCGGTGGCCGGAGTCTTTTATTAATGAATAATGTAACCAGGAGAGCAACTCCGAGAGTATTACAGTGTTTGGAAGAGAGTAGCAATGTGTGTGTAGAGAGATATGTAGAGGTTTCAAGGTCATGCCCTCTATTTGTAGAGAGCTTACATTATAAAGGTTCACTAAGGCGATGAACCGGTGACGTAAGGAAGGGGGTTTCTACCATTTTGGAAAGTACAATTATGGTAGAATTAGATCTCTGTATCCCGATATTTTCTCCTTGTGCTCCTATTCCGTCGGAGGAAGATCCTGAGCTGGACTGAGCTTAATCTTAACCTTGGACTTTGAATTGGAGTAGGCTTGGACTGGCATTGAGGTCAAGAGGATGGAGAAGGATCAAGGGGCAGCCTTGGGTGGCGCCCCTTTGGGCAGCGCCTAGCTTGGGTGACCCCTGGGCGGCACCCCTTCCCCTGGGCGGCACCCCTTTGGCTCCTCTCTTGGTCGTTGGCCCATTGGTGCCTTGGACTTCCTCCTGATGGGTTGATCCAACTTCAATTGGGCTCTCCTTTGGGTTTTCTCGGTTTATTTAAATTGGACTTAGACCAGTCAATTTCGGGCTCATCAGTACATAAGTGGGTATAATTGACATATGTTCACGGCGTTGCCCTTCACTATCCCGCCTCCAGCTATTGCAAGGACAGTGTAGCTCCTTCTAGTTTTCAGGAAGCCCATGGCTTCCTTTGATTTGGGAATCCACTTCGTCATCTTGCCACTTGCCTCCATACCACACTTATTCAATCTCCCTTAATTGCTAGTAGAATAAAGAAGGTGGAATGGGAGTAGCCAAGTAGCCAAGGGCATGTATAGGTACACCAATTTTAGAAAAAGGGAAAGAAAACCCTTGCTTCACCTCTTGCATACATGTGGTTAGAAGTATTGGTGGTCGTTTGAACTATTAGATTATCAAGCATGGCTCCTAATACATGATTGAATCGATCTGGCTCTGTTCCATTTTGTGTATTCAGCATACAAATATATGGTCTTGTCTCCAGAGTAGCAGAGTAGATATATCTATTGGCATAGCAAATTAGACATTGATCATACCATATGATTGCCTCTTTGTAGAGGGGACATTTATTTACAATCTAATTGCTTGTTGCGTCAATACAATTCTGGCAGGCTTGGGGAACAATGTCGCCTCTGTAGAGGAAAATGAAGGTTTCAGCTCCATCAGATCTATAGCCCACCCTAGTAACCACCCTACTAACGGCTAGGTGGCTGGACGACTGAAGCTTTGACAAAACTTGCTAGAGCATTCAATGTGTTCCCTTTTTTTCTTGAATTTTTGCCTAAAAAACTCCCTATAAATAGGAAGCTTAGTGAAAGCTAGAAGCATGTTCAAGAATCAATGAGGAAGAAACAGAGAGTGAAAGAGATTCAGGAGAGATCTCATTTATGAGAATTTTTTATAAAATTTTTGTATTGTATTCTCAGATAGAAATAAAGATTCCTCTGTTGTTTATATCTTGTTTATGGTGTATTTTCGGCCCTAGGTAACTAACAAGTGGTATCAGTTTGGGTGGGTCATCGAAATTTTTTTTTTCAACTCACTGTTTTTGTTCGTACGGATTCTAAACATACTCGAAATTAAATTATGAGCGCACCATTGGATTCCCTTCATCGAAACGATTCGAACCCCATTGTCGTTACATCCATCCGACGTTGGACGCTCTCTCATGGTCCTTGTCGGAATTTTTCCGGAAAGTTCATCGGGCGCTGGAGTTGCTGTTGGAGTTCGCGAGAGAATGCCAAAGTTGCTACCGGAAAGTTTGCCGGAAAAGTTTACTGGACCGGTGACTGGAGGAAGGTTGAAAACAACGAAATATTCCACTTTCGTCAAAGAATATTCTATTTTAGTCAAAGAATATTCCAAGAGCATATTCCATCCAATCAAAGAATACTTCAAGAGAATATTCCGTCCACATATTCCGTTAAATTTAACGGAATATTCCATTAGATTATCAAAAACTTTTTGAGCCAGTTTTGACCTCATTTTAGCTCCGTTTTTGGTAAATTGGGACTCTTTCCCAACTATTTCAATCGTTCTGGACACGATGGTTCGCTTTGTTTTGCAAAATTCAGACCTGAAATTTTTGATCGAGACATTTAGAGCCTAAAAACTCAAAATGTTCACGGAGATTCAACGTCAAGAGCCATGATCAAACTCACTATCTCCAATTATACACTTTGGAGACCTCGGATGGAAGATCTTCTAAGTTGTAAAGACTTGTATGATCCCTTGTAAGTAAAAGGTGTAAATCCAGATCTGACAAAAGAAACAAAGTGGAAAAAATTGAACAGAAAAATCGTCGGTCAAATCAGGCAATGGATTGACTACAGTGTATTCCACCATGTAGTACAAGAGACTGACACACATGTCCTCTGGAAGAAGCTAGAAGACATGTAGCAAACCCAGACTGCTCGAAATAAAACCCTTTTGATAAGGCAATTAGTGAATCTAAAGTTAAAAAATGGAACTTAAATTGCCGAGCACACTAGTGAGTTTCAGAGTCTGGTAAATCAATTATCATTGGTAGAGTTGAATATGGGAGATGAAATATAAGCTCCATTGTTTCTTAGTTCTCTACTAGAGAGCTCAGAGACCCTGGTAGTCTCTTTCACCAATTCTATTCCAGGAGGCAAACGTACCATGTCAATGGTTAAGGATGCCCTATTCGATGAGGAGGCCAAGAGAAAGGATGGTGGCATTGGCCAATCAAATGCCTTTGTCGCTGAGAGTAAAGGCAGACATCAAGGAAATAGCAGAGGCAAAGGAAGAGGAAGGAGTAAGAATAGAGAAAGGTCACAAGATCTAAGGAGATCAAATGACGGAGGAAGACCTACATACAAGTGTTACCATTGTAGCATACAAGGCCACATGAAGAAAAATTGTCGCAAGTTGCTACGAGAGCAAGGCCAAGTCAGTAATCAGCTGAAGAAATAGGATGAAGAGACGCTAGTCACTCTCTCAAAGGATGTGGCCATTCTTTCTATAAATGAGGAGACATGCCTTCATTTTTTTAACCATGACGCTGAGTGGGTGGTAGATACTATAGCTTCTTATCATTCTACTTCTCACAACGATTTTTTCTCAACGTACAAAGCCGGAGACTTTGGTATGGTGAGGATGGGAAACACCAGTTCTTCCAAGATTGTAGGAATTGGTGATATTCAGATAAAAACAAATGTAAGTTGTACATTGGTATTGAAAGATGTCCGACACCCGACCTTCGGCTAAATCTACTTTTGGGATAGCTCTTAACAGACAGGGCTATGATAACCATTTCAGCAATGACACATGGAAGCTCATGAAAGGTGTCATGGTTATCAATCGAGGATATATTTATGGCATGCTTTGCAAGACCCATGTGAAAATTTGCCTAGAATGGGTTGTTTTCGAAACCGTGTCATGGTTATCAAACTGCATTTCTTCATAGAGATCTGAATGAAGAAATCTATATGGAACAACCGGAAGGTTTCAAGGTTCCAAAAAAGAAAAATCTGGTCTACAAGTTGAAGAAGAGTTTGTATGGCTTCAAGTAAGGCACAGACAGTGGTATAAGAAATTTAACTCATTCATGATGGGTCATAGATACAA